ATAATATTCGAGAGTTACTAAATTATCCTAGATTACGAATCATACAAAAAACATGTGTAAGTTTTTCCGTTCAAATTAACAAGATCCATCAAAAAAAAAAAAAAAAGTACTCTGTAACTAAATTGCCACTGATGGGTCATGGGATCTCGAGGCCCGTTCTATTGACATGAGTCGTGTCCCAAAGTAATGGGAGATAAAGAAAGGCAGGGCAACCCAAGGCAATGAGGGGTGAAGGAGGTAAGCTGAAATAGAGTCTGGTGGGATAGTATCCCAATACATAACAGTAGTATAATCAAGAGCTGTAGACGCTAAAGTATGAGCTACTAAATTACCTGCCCTAAGAACAAGGAATTCAAATTCAATGAACGAGGTGAATTACAATGTTTAGTTGGAGGAAATTGCAATTCAATAGATGTGAGAAAGGAAAAATAGATGAAATGACACTACTACCCTTGGTTATTATTACTATTATTATAACATAAGGGTATTTTAGTTTTTATACTATTTCTTTCCTTCTCAATTCCAATAATTCTATTTCGCCCTACCAAATAACATAATTTGAATTCCTATTTTATTCTCACCTTATTCTTTTCTCTGCGAATTATAATTCTTTTCCCTCATAATTCATTCGTTCCAACCAAACGTCCTGTTATAGGAATTTCAGTAGAAACCACAAAGAAACATCCTATAATCAATGATCTAATGCAGCCTGAAAAAGTGAAAAATAGGGTCTGTTTGGAAACCCGGAAAATGACTTCTGGAAATCATTTTCCAGGTTTTTGGTGTTTGGAAAGGCTGAAAATGAAAAAGTCAAAGGAAAATGCTAGCTAGTCAATGGAAAATGAGGACTAAAATCCGAAAAATGACTTCCTTTTTTTTTTTTTTTTTTTTTTTGCGGAAGTCATTTTTCATCTTTCAATCAACATCCGTAGACACGCTCAAGCCTCTCCCTTCACTGCTTATTCTCCCTTCACTGCTTCTTCTCTCACTTCACCTCCTCCTTCAACATTCAATAGAGATCTACCAACACATTTCCTCCAACAATCCACAAAAGCTTCACCAGCACTAGAAAAGCTACAAGGAATATTATTTTTCTTTTTTAATTTTTTTTCCAAATATTATGGCTGGGGAAACCAGTGAGTCTGGTTTTCCGCATCGGAAACCAGATCTGGTTTCCGATGCGAAAAACAGTCACTGGTTTACCAGTGACTGCACTGGTTTCCGATTGGAAACCAGTGAATGGTTTTGCGCATCGAAAACCAGATTTGGTTTCCGATGCGGAAACCAGTTCTGGTTTCCGATGCGAAACCAGTTGTAATTTATTTTTTTTTTTATGTCAAACCAGTGAACTTGTTGCTGATATTTTTTTTTTACTGATTATATAATAACATGCTTTGCTTAATTTGTGGTTATGTGTTAATTTTAATTGTTGTTATTTGTTGTTATATTATTTTGATTGTATAGATGGATAGAAATCATGTGCATGCAACTGTTATGCGTGCAGCAAGTGCTATATTAGCTATGAGAGTCCTTCTATTGCAACAACTTAGGAATAGAAACCAAATAGAACATGACATCCTCAATAGAGATGATGAGCGAGAGAGTTACATAAATAGTATATTGTGTGAGGGTGATAACAAATGCATTAGCGTTATTAGAATGCGACCTATTTCCTTCTATAAATTGTGTGACATTTTTGCTACTAAGAACTTATTACGCACAACTAGAGCCGTAAGTATTAAGAAACAAGTGTTAATATTTTTACATATAATAGGTCACAATGTACGCTTTCGAGTAGCGAAAGACACTTGACTTGAAGGTGGATGAAATTGCTGAACAGCTCGGTAGCATTGCCACGGCAATTAAATCTTTGAATACCGGTATTGATGAAAATCAGTTGTTTGAGGATGTGATGAGCATAGGTGATGGCTTTAATGAGGATGACCTATGTAAGGTATTTGAATACTTGATGACAAATGAGGTTTAGGCGCGAATTTTCAATGCGAAGAATGCAAGTTTGAAGAGGAAATGGATTGAGAAATTTATTTCTTCTACGGATTAAATTATGTATGTCTTTTTTGTTGGTTAACATGCATGTTAAGACTTGGATTGTAATCTTTAAGACTTATTTTTATGTATGTTTTGTAGTGGTTATGTTGGATCTTAGTACTTGTTATATTGGATCCTAACACTTTGTGGACTTTAATTTTCAAGACTTGATTATTTATGCGTTTATGCTGTTTCTAACATGTAATTGTGATTTCAAATTGTCATATTGTGACAATAGTTTTAGTACTAGAAAGATAGACAGCAATGACATTAGAATTAAATACAATCAAAATTTATGTTGCATATAATTTGTAATAAAAATTGTTATATTCTACAAACAAAAATAAAAATATATTATTCGGTATATAATAATTAAAATGTTTAAGTATGCCATTCTGTTCATTTTCTGGAAAATGAACCAAATACCAAAAGACAGTTCTCCATCATTTTTTGGAAAATGAACCAAACACCAAAAGACAGTTTTCCATTGTGCAGCCAAACACAGGAAAGGAAAATGACTTCTGGAAAATATACTCATTTTCCAGAAGTCATTTTTCGAGTTTCCAAACAGACCCTAAAGGGAAAATAACACTTTTTTCGAGTTATATGTTTATACCATTTTTTCTCTTTGAATTATTCATATATTTATATTTGTCCCCTCAGTTATGTTAAATTGACGGATTTTTCTCCTTTCATGTTAAATTGACATTTTTACCCTTAAAAATAAGTATTTCATTTATTTTTCTTCTGTATGAATGACCACGATACGGTTCGAACCTAACCTGACACTGTAGCAACCGAACCGAAACAGTAGGGACGGTTCTGGTTACGATTCAAAATCAGAAGAAAAAAAAATTGTTGAAATTAGACTATTTTAAAAATAATAAATAAATTTACGAAAATAAATAAATTTTGAACTAGCGATTCAAATCGAAACAAGAACCCGATTCCCGTTTTGATTTATCATTTCCAAGAACCGTGAACCGGAAACGAACTGGCAATTCAAATCGAAACTGGAATCTTCCTAAAAGGTTCCCGTTCCGATTTATCATTTCCTAGAACTGTGAACCGGAACTGAACCGTAATCATATCTACTTATCTGTAGAATTAGAGTAAATGTGAAAAAGATCAAACACTATTGGTAAATGATAAATCGATTCGGTTCGATTCTAATATCAGTTTTGTACCGCTGATTCAAAAAAGAGTTAAGAGGAATAAGACCTCTGCTTCACTCACACTCAGTTTTAAACCGCCGATTGAAAAAGTATTTATTTATTGATTTATTTTTGTAAATTTTATTTCTTATTTTTAAAATAGTCTAATTTCAAAAATTATTTTATTTTGATTTTGAATTGTAACCAAAACCCTCCCTGCTGTTTTGGTTTGATACTTTGATTGTTACAGTGTCCGGTTAGGTTTGGATCGAACCGTACTTATCCCTACATATAAGTAATAATTTGTTGGGGAAGAAAAATAAATGAAATACTTATTTTTTTTAGGGTAAAAATGTCCATTTAACAAAAAAATGAAAAAAAAATTATCACTTTTAACATAACTAAGACGACAAATATGAATAATGAATAACTCAGAAGAAAAAAATGTCATTTTTCCTAAAGTAAACAAAACCTAAAGATATAAAAAAAAAAAAAAAAAAAAACCATTAAAAATGGGGGCAAGAATGCAAGATGGCATCTACTTGGGATGCAGCAACACTTTTCATGTCTGCAGATAGTTGTTTCTTGTTTGGAGCCATTATACCAAACACTATACTCCCGAGATATGTCTCAACTGGTTGACTAATCCAAAAAAGAGTTACTCAATTATCCCCAAACACATTTTAACTGACTGATTAATCCAAAAAAAATTAAGAGCTCTACTTCACTCACACTCTTATCCTAATAGGTAACCCAACTCCAAGAAACTAATCAGTGGGTTGAATTTTTAACACAAAATGCAATAGAGGAAAAGCAGGAGTGCCTTGAAGCATTCTTGCAGAAAAGGCAATTTGCTAGTTATCTCAACACAATAAAGAAGAAGAGGGGTGTGAGGAAAAGAGGAAAGAATATGGGAAAAAGTAAAAGTAGTTCCATTTATGCTTCAAGATTACAAGTGAGAAAGATCCCAGAATCCATGACAGCAAAATCAACTTAAAATTATCTCCAAAAAGCACTGGGCCCTTTGTTCTTGTAGTTTAATTTTTCTGTCTCCCAAACTTACACAGCCATCCATCCAAGCTAGTTTTTCTTTCCCCAAACTCATCACTAATTCATTTTGTATGCATAATGGACCACCAATAAAGAAACACTACTTGGGTGTTTGGATACAGCAATTCTTCACACTTTAATCACCACCATGCAAATTCTAATCTAATGGACCCAATCACTCCTGTCCAAACAGGCCCCAAAGCTAAACAACTCAGTGAAAGTCTAAAAAACTCTTCTTCTCTCAGAAGGCCATAAACTGCAGAACACAGAAAATCTGCAGAAATAATGCAGTTAAAGGGATAAAGAACCAAAAAAAAACGAGGGGGTGATGTTCAAAAAAGGAGAGTTAGAATGAGTACATAATAAGCATTCCCACCAGGCCAATCGAGGTGCAGACACTACAAGGAATAACTTTAAGCAAACATGGGAAAGAATAAAGTATTTGCCGTTGAAAATCCCCATCAAAAGCATAGAAGAGATTCATGAAGTGAGACAAAAAGTATGAAGACACAGTGGATTTAATCGATTCTTAACCCAAAAGATGGGATCGTAACAAAAGGAAAGTTAACTCCATTGGGAAATCAATCTTCGCTTCACGACAGATTTTATCTTCTAATGTTATGTAACTTTGCAAAGAAACTCAGAAAATATTTAAGCAATAAAAATAAAGATGATGAAAAACTTTTAGATCTGGCAAAGGTATAAAAAATGCATACTTGAAGAGATACGCAGAATAGCACAAGCAGATACAGAATACTATAATGGATTGATAGCAATTATATGAACTGTTATTTTCTAAGAAAGAAATGGCTACAAGTAAAGTCAAGGTCTAGAACATCCACCAAAAATGAAACAATATGAGCCAAAGATTTTAGTTTTCAAGAAGAAAAACGCCATAAACCAGTATGATCATTGATCAATCAATCAGCTAGACCTTATTCTTTTCGGGCCACCTCTTCCATCTGATTTCACAGTTGCAGCAGATTCTCCTTCAGAGGAAGCCTCCCTAGATTTGGTCAAAGAATCAGAAAGATCAGCGTAGAGATCAACCACCCTTCTAACATTGTTATTGAGCTCTCTAATTAGACCCACATTTCGGGTTAAGTTATCGGGGATCTTAGACTCTTGGTTTTGGTTGATCTCGTTGATCAACAGCCTGTTCTGGTCCAATAAGTTCTGTACTTGTATAAAACTTTTCTGAAGTGTCTGTAGAACTTTGGAGTCTATTTGAGTCCCATTGGCAATGCCAGAAAATATTTCATCTTCCATTTTCAATTGCAATTCAATTCAACCAAACCTCTCCAAATTCTACCACTGCAGATACATATAACTTTTCTCAGTTGAAACACACAAAATGAAAAACTTGAAATTTATTAGAATTCCATAGATATAAACAGGCAACATAAAAGCATAAGGAATCACTCAAGAATTTGAGCATGGAGTAACATGCCCTACTTAAAAAGTCGTCCAATTTTCTAAACTTTGGCATCATAAAGCTGCCTTCAAGGCTAAAAAGGAACAACCTTTTTCTTTTTCTTATCTATTCTCCGTTGTCAATTAAGAAGCAAAAATTCCAGCAAAAAAAATCTGTAAAAATCAAATCTTTGCTTCCATTACCCCCCATCAATTCGAGGGTGTAGACAGGAAATCAAGCCATGAACAACGTCATATATTTCCATGGACCAAATAAATTAAACTGAAACTCAGAGAAGAAAATTCATGGCTGGCAAACATTCAAAAGCATTTTCTTGGAATATGCAGAGCCCTATACAATCGCAGCGTACCCATCAAAGGAATTAAATAATAAGAAAATCCAAAATTTCGGTTTCCTAAATTACCTTGAAAATATGGAAGAACATTCTTTTCCAAGAAAGTGTGGGAAATATCCTCGTTTTGGCTCTGGGATTGAACAGATACCCAGAAATCATGAACAGAGCGAGAGAGAGAAAGAAGAGCGAGAGAGAACAAGAATGTTGTGAGATTTCAAGACGGGTACAGACACACGGAGAGGGATGATAGCTGGGGTCCCCTAGGGGTGGGGGGGGTGGGGGCAGGGCCGCGTGGGTAGGGGGAGTTTCTCTCTCCTTGTTTACTTCACCTGCGGGATTCTCTCTCTCTCTCTCTCTCTCTCTCTCTCTCTCTCTCTCTCTCTCTCTGACTTGTGTATTGGTTCCATTTCAGAACAAGAAAATCAAATCAAAGATAAGTACGCAATCATGGCCGTTAATTCACTACATCTGGAAAAATCATTGTCTCTTCATATAGACAAGTCCAACCATTATTTACAAAATCTCATTTTCAAATCTCAACTAAACATCTTTAAATATTAGTATCTTGACCGACTTACAAAGAGGTTACATGTATCCATCATCTTATCCTTATTCTGCAGTAATTTCTTGTCTTTTTTTTTTTTTTTTTACACATGCACATTTTTAATTATTACCATACCTTTTACCCTACAAATTTACTTATATATTATTTTGATAAATAATCCCAAACTTTCAAAACTCAAAAATTGATTGAGAATTTTAGACCCAAAAAATTCAAATTCTAGACCAATGATACTACCCCTAGGGTTGGCCTAGGAGGGCCTGGTTGGCTCAAGAAAAAGGCTCACACGTGGGATGGCAGAAACGAGCCAACTAATAAACATTACAACTATTACAGACATTTACTCCACTCGGAAAATATTCGGGTCATGTATAACGTTACTAAATGAGTCATTATGTTTTTTCTTGTATAAATATAATTATCATTGCCTTATAGGGACACCTTTTGTCTTATTCACATACTTACTATTGAACTCTAGAAGTAGTTTATACCAAATATAACAAATTAAAGTCTTTATCTTATTCATGACATGTTCCTTTTATAATTACCTTGGTGACCATTTCCTCTATCGAGAAGAATAAGATTTTGTTTGGGAGAATAATAAGATTTTGTTTTTAAATAATAATAATAATTTTGTAAAAGTTTTTAAAATTTTAAATTTATTGTAAAATGATAAGAATTACCATTATGATGTAACTTCTATTCACGTGTTATGTGTACATAATCTCCAATGCGCATTTGAACATGACCACGTTCAACAACCGTGTCTAGAAGTTTGGATAGTCTTTAATTGTAACCTTGTAGTTGCATGCTTAATTGGACATAACCATCTTTGACTAATTGATCTACTCATAATTGTATGGGGTAAGGAGTTTTTAATGTAGGAGTATTAAGAGAAAACACTCACTTGTTAGATAATAAGAATAATACATAAATAAATTGTTAGATATAAGATTTCTTCGTGAAAATATGGAATGAGAAAATTAAAAAAAAAAAATTAATAGTCTCAAACTAAAAATGTTCTACAGAATACTATTTTGTTGTATTGTTTTTATTATATATATATATATATATATATATATATATAGGGATTTTGTTGTATTGTTAATTACATGTAGAGATGAGCAATGATTTGTGGAATGTACTCCGATTCATAAAATCCATTCCGCTCACATCCCATTCGCATCTACTTAAAGTGAATAGGATGTTAATCTATTTAATGAAAATTCGCCACTAGTGGATTGGATGTGGATGTGACTTCTCAAAATTCACTATATCTATCCAATTCACTCCACTAATACACCATACACACACACACACACACTAAGCCTAGTAGTTCATTGTTGAGTGTCGGCGAGTGTAGCTAAAATCTGACATTCTAATTCAATTTTAAATTTTAACTTTTTTTTTTTTTTTTTTATACTTAGTATAGGGTTTTAGGTATGTCTTCCTCAATTGTCATTTTTGGGTTTTCACATTTTTCATTCTTAAATCATATTTGTTCTTTTTCACGGCGTCATGATCACAAGTTCAACACTACGTTGAAGATTTGAAACTGAATGAAGATTTGTAATTTAGATTAGTTTGTATTTTAAAATTAGATATTTAATTTTTTAAATGAGATGTTTGAGAATTTGTGATTTTAATTTTTTAGTGTTAAAATTTTTGTATTATAATATATTTTATTGCTTAAACTTAAAAATTGATCATTTTATTTACATCTAATTCGTTATTAACATATCGGATTTGATTGGATCAGCATCCATAGTGGACTTGAATGTGGATGAAATTTTTAAATCCATCTTTAACTAATTAGATGTGGATCCACATTTGCTTCAATCCACTCCACACTTACCCATATAAAAGTCACTAATGAAGTGATCAAGATGATTAAGGAAGAAGTATGGGAAGAGAGGGGAATGTTGCTATTGGTGAGAGTGATAGGGACACAAAAAAATAAATCAAAATGATTAGGACTTCTTTTAATGGACTTTCTTGGCATACCTTGGGATCCAAGATTTTTCATTTTCCCTTTGTCTTATTTTATTTATTTATTTTTATAAACTTAGACTACAAATAGATTTAGGGCAATTTATATCCTACACCACGGCGCGTGTTACACTATGCGCCCAGATGCAAAACGACGTCGTTTTAATTTTTTTTTTTGGAAATTTCCCGCCCCAGTGAATGGTAGTAGTTTTTTCTTTAAAAAAACCCCGCTGTTCAAGAATGTACATAATGTTATACTATAATACACATAATTGTATATATGAATGTACATAATTATATAACAAAATATACATACTCTTTTTAAAAGATAATACACATAATCTAACATAATACATAATAAACATAAACTTTTAACATAATACACATCAACTATTAACATAATACACACAAATTTTCTGATTTGGATGTACATAATTGTATAAAAAAAATGTAGACAATTGTATAAAAAATGTACATAACTGTATGAACCAATATACATAACTGTATGAATAAATACACATAACTGTGTGAACAAATACACATAATCCCAGCAACTTCCTACCGTGCCTCCCAAAATGACGTCGTTTTGGGAGGCGCGCAGCGCACAGTGCTATGTGCGCCGTGGTGTAGGGTATAACGATTGTAGATTTAGGCATATTTAATTTTCTAAGTGGATTTTAAGGTCTAAGCTAACCTCTTTGGACTAATGAATTTGGTTAGATTTTTAAAGTCAAGACTTTTAACTAATTGGGTTGAGGGTATGTTATTATGCATTTTCACACCCATTTTCCAAAAGATTGTGTAGTGATACTTAAGTTGGGATTAAATATCTATTTTTGAGTTAGTCTTTGTAGTGATGTTAGAATTTTGCTTGAGTGTTATATTATTGGTGCTCTTGTTTATAGGCCAATGTGGCAGTAAAGGGCTATTCGATACTTGATAAGGTTTAAAAAGGACGAAGAAGAATTTAGAATGAGAGCTATCTAGAGTGAAAGTCGTTCACTCATCCGGGCTTAGTAGAGGGGATGACTTAGAAAATGGCTACCTAGTGCCTAATAAGGCTCAGTGTAAAACTATCCAAAGAGAAAATAATTACATGGTGTCGAGAAAAGAAAAGTTAGGAGTATGAGCTGTCTAGAGTGAGTCACCATGAAGAGAGGGAGAAAAAACATCAAAATGATTAATACCTCTTTTGAAGTTTAGACTTTAGTGGACTATCTTGGAATATGATTTTTTTTTTTCATATTTCATTTTTTTAATAATCTAGGTTTTCCATATTTTCCGGGCTAAATCATGAACCTTAAGAACCCGTCTCAGGCACATAAAGAAATAAATCGAGCCAATCTAACTATGAGATTCCCCATTTTTCTTGTCTTAGAGCGTCCACATTGAATCTGGCTACTTGTAGGCTAAAAGTCTTACACATCATCACTTAGACATTTTCATTTTTTTTTTCTTCTATCTTGTCAAGCCTTGCAACTATGCCTACACCTCAAAATTTATACTCCTGCATGGTTTGCTCGGTAGTTATGTGTTGATTTGGCATTACAAAAGTTACCATTGGGAATGCCCTTATCCCTTTGTATAAACTTGAACTCCAAATAAATTTAAGTTCTCAGTGAATTCTAAAGTCTTGTCTAACATGTTAAACTAATAAATTTACTTGAATAAATCTTGTTGAGCTTCTTCAATAATTGGACCAAGAATATATAGTTCTAATAGCCTCCTGATCGATTAATACACTCTTTACTCTTTAGTCTTGACTATAAAATTAGGCTCACCCAAATGATGTCAGCAACCATGTCCATTACCCAAACACATATGTGTAATTGAGAAATTGCCCCATAATTACAACACATAAAACGATTTACAAATGTCAAATACATTCTAAACTAATGTAATAACAATTGTTATAAAGTTGATCATTAATTTAAATATTGATTTTTATTATACTAATAAATTTTAATTTTTAATATATTATAAATTTATTTTTAACGTACTAACTAAAAATAGAGAATATTCAGTTTATTACAAATAAACCTTCAACCTACCAAAAATAAACATTTATTAGTATTTCATAATATTATAATTTACCATTTAACATAAGTACACTAATTAATTACTAACTAATCACTAAATTAATTTGGAAAAGTCACACTATCTACTTAACTAGACATATAATGTGATTGGCGCAATTATCACAATCTTCCAAGTAGCACAACCAAGTCACCAACATTTATTGGTTAATTTATTTAAATTTTGAAAGGGAAATTTGTTTTAAAATAAACATCTACTAGTGAATCAATTTCAATTCTTTTACTCTCTCAATCTCCATCTTCTTTACGCCATTTCTGAAGTAGGTTAAAAGATTCAAACTTTTATGATACATTCGGATTCCAAAATGACCCGTTTACTCAGTCTCACCTTGGAGATCCGCACGCGAGGAATGAATGCTATCATGATGCATTGATTCTTGGGTGCTTCACCTTACATTCATTTCTGGAGGAGATTAGCGGTTTTTCTTCATTTCATTTTGGTTGTTTGATCAAGAACAGTCTCTGAGGGGATTGGATTCGATTTGATTTGGTAACCTTGGCGATTTTTCAAACCCTAGCTTGTTAGTGCATGTTTATTTGGATTCCGGCCCAGATGAGGGGTGGATTGGGAGTACCACCCCAGCCCTGATTTCGCTTCAAGGTTGATGTTATATGGATTCGCCATTGTTGACCTCAATCATCTTTACGTTAGGTTTCTTTGCGATAGCCGTGCAGTCTCGGAACGATGTGAATCCCCCGCCGCAATCGCCGCTCGTTTCGCCTCCGCCGCCTCCTCCTCCTCCTCCACCTCCACCCCCTCCGCCACCCTTCTCACCCCCTCCTCCGCATCACCAATCTCTGCGACCGCCGCCGCCTCCTCCACCCAGGAAATTCGCTCCGTTTCCTCCTAAGATGGCCCCGAACCACGAGACTGGAAGGCAGAACAACGATCAAATCCACCAGTCATCTAATCGGAAGTTAAACCCCCCACCAAAACAAACGAAACTCAATTTGGGGAAGAAAATTGGATTGAGTTTTGCAGGCATTGCCGTGTTCTTGCAGGTGGTTGTGATTGCATTCTTGGCACTCAAAAGAACGCAGCTGTTAAAGACTGAGAGGAGTGGATCCCCCAATGGAAACGTGAGCATTCTTTTCCCACTCACTTCATGTTTTATTTAAATTGTTTTGCTTCACAGTTCATATTCTTTTGCAGACAGTGTTTGTCACACTGGATTAGAGCTCTATTAATTGACTGTCTTTAAAGACTTTTTGGTAACAAGCAGGACATTAATGGATTCATAAGCAATGATCAGAGTACTGTTGTCCCCGTGCCGGGTCTCATTTGTTAATTGGTAATTCTTCACTGGCATTACATGTACTTGTGAATATTAATATATCTAGCATGTATGGCTGTGAATGATTTAGATATTGAATGTGATCCTCTGTGTATGTTTCATTTATCTGTTACTATTTTCCCTGCACTCATTTTGCTGCTCGTATATGGAAAGTTCATAGGATAAAGATTGAACATTGCTGAGTCTTCCATGCAAGATTTTTCTGGTTACTGTTCCAAAAGGCCTAAAGAAATCACTGCTGGTGAAAAATTTCAATTGATTTAAGCAGGAAAAACTATATATGGAGTTGTACACTTGTACAAGTTAACTGTTTACTAGATTGCTGCATATTCCATAATAAGTTGTTTCCTAGTTGGATGTCTAAAGAACTTGTTATTTCAACAATGCTTCCTCTGCCAGAGCATTTTGAGATAATATGCATTTGTGGTCTAGTGGCATGAAGTGACTCTCCCGAATGAGAGGTCATGGGTTTGAACCCCATGGGGCGGTATTGATTATTTGTGCTTCAGTAGGTTGAGAAAGTAGCTACGAACAGATACTACATTATAACAGAATCAGTAGTACTAAAAAAAAGTGTCTACTTGCGAGTTGCGACACTAATCTTCTTGCGTTGTTTAGAGAGAATAATGCACGGGTTTAGTTGTAATGTCCCATCATGGAAACTGAGGCATACAATTCTGAGAAGTAATGTTCATAATAAATTATCACTTGGGGCATGGTTACTTTAGCATGAATCTAAATTACTTGCCATTGCTTCTTGCTATCATTTTTAAGTATGTTCTAGGCATGCAAGCTCATGGTTATTGTTTTTCGTATTGTATGTAGGTGGGTGAACTTAAGGAGCTGGCTTGGATTTGGTGTAGAGGACCAAAATGCGTTATACTTCCTTTTTTTCCATTTAGAGATAGGGTCTAGGTAGGCAATTAACGAGTTCAATTTTGTTGGGTAGGCAATTAACGAGTTCAATTTTGTTGGAGACATGAGTTGTAATCGCCATTGCTGTATATACATGTGCATAATACAACTAGAAAACATTTACCAGCCACCAGCCTTCTTTCTGATATGAACAATTATACATTGTATTGTTTTCAGCCTGTCATCATTTTCTTTCCTTATAACTTTTTTTTAGGCAGTGATCTATTGTCTTTTCTGGAACTTGAGATGTGCAAGAACCATTAGTATTGGCACCCTTATTACCCAACTGAGTTAGTTGGACAGTTGGTTTGGTAACTACAAAAATTTTCAGTTTGATTTTTCAATGGAGTTGTTTATTGACATTTTTAGTTTGAGCTGGTTAACTATGGCCTATGGGTAACTTGGGCTTGTTTATTTTGGTCTTTTATTGGCTAGTGTCACAAGACTAGTCTTAGTGTAACTGTGGGCTTTCTCGTAAATCCCAATTGTACTCTCTTGTAACTTATGCCCATAGTATAAGTTAGCGCGTATTCTGTTTTGATTTCTTTTTTTCTTCATCGGTTAACAACTATACACTCTTTTCTCTCTCGAGTCTTGAGACTTGACTTAAATCGGGGATTAAAGTAAACAACGCGGGCAATAGCTGTTATCCACATTGTGATTGTGATGTTGATGGAATTTCTTGACCTGTAAACCAAAGCTTAGAAATTTCCGCATTAAGAAAAAATGTTGTAAGGGAGTTTGTTATATTCTAAGTATGAGATGAAGCAATAAAATATTGTGTGAACAAAAGCCCTATCCAAAAGGCAATTCTCCTACACCACAAATTCATTTCAATGCATTAAATCAAAGACAGCTAATTATTTGTGTAGCGAACCATTTATAGCTGTCGAACTTGTCTTGTTATGGCCTTTCTCCTCTTCCACCCGAATCTCCTTCCATGTGCATTTGGACCACAGCATATCAAGTGTAAGAGTGAGAGTACAGTCTGGGTTGGTGGACGGCGAGACCTGAAAACGATGCCACCACACTGATATATGGCATCGCTAGAGGCTGGCTGGCAGAATCAATTGACACGTCAAAAGTTATAACTAATAATAAAAGAAAGACTAGTTTTATTTTCTTTTTACTTTTGTAGTAGTTAATGTCAAGTTTTAAATACACATCGGCAACGGGATACAAAACTTGATACTTAGCTTCTAACTTCTTCTAACAAAACCAATATGGATTGGGGCAATGTAGGACATTTGTGGAACAGAGTGGCTAGGATTTTCTTGGTTATGTCTAAGAGAGTTTGAAAATTGAAAACATGACCTCCTAACTAAAGTTATTACCAAGACTATGTGGTCTAATGGTATCCGGGTTGGACTTTCATTTGAAAGATTGTTAGTTTGAACCTCAGTGATACTACATTGTAATAGAGACAGGTGCATTCAGGTAGAGTAAATGTGTATAAATTAAATTAATTACCAAACGTGTTTAGTGAAGTGACAAGTATAAAACAAGATGCATAGAAAAAATAACTCGCCCTATCAAGTATAAATTAAATTAATTACCAAATTTGATCCAACCCACAGCTAGAGTGAAGTGACAAATATAAAACTAATTACCAAATTTGATCCAACCCACAGCTAGACTACTTACAAAGTGGTAAATTAAATTAATTACCAAATTTGATCCAACCCACAGCTAGAGTGAAGTGACAAATATAAAACTAATTACCAAATTTGATCCAACCCACAGCTAGACTACTTACAAAGTGGCAAAGTACATTATTTGTGTATTGAATGTACATTATACAAATAATGTACTTTTAGTACTCAAATAATATATTTTTTTTGAATACAATGTACATTTTTAATACACAAAAAGTACATTATTTATATACTGAATATACATTATTTGATAGTATGGTCAACTAAGGTGGAGTTGGGTGTTTGAGTGTGAGGAATGAAGAAATTAAAACACTGCACAGCTACGATATGATCTGGTCACGGGTGCAAAAAGTCTATCTGTGTTAGTTTGTGTAATGAAATGATGAATGGTTACATAGAAAGGCATATATTGTTGATAGGCCAAATCTGTGGTTACTATTCCTCTCCACATTCAAGTGGCTATTACACCTTTTTCCACCATTATATATATATATATATATATATATACCAACCATTATATATTCCATGCACACAGAATTCAAGCTAAGTATCATAAACACTCATCATATATATCATCCAAATAATTGCAGAAAGAAAAAGAAAATGGTGATGATGAGAATCTTCTTCTTCCTTTTCCTCTTGGCCTTTCCGGTCTTCACTGCAAATGCATCAGTGAATGACTTCTGCGTGGCCAACGGCCCTGGAGCCCGCGACACCCCGTCAGGCTTCGTGTGCAAGAATACCGCCAAAGTCACAGCCGCCGACTTCGTCTACTCCGGCCTGGCAAAACCCGGCAACACCACCAACATCATCAACGCCGCCGTTACTCCGGCGTTCGTGGGTCAGTTCCCGGGAGTGAACGGGCTGGGAGTCTCCCTTGCCCGCCTCGACTTGGCCCCCGGCGGAGTCATCCCCATGCACACCCACCCCGGCGCCTCGGAGATCTTGAACGTCGTGGAGGGCACGATCCTGGCCGCCTTCATTTCCTCCGGCAACAAGGTGTACGAGAAGGCGCTGTACCCCGGCGACGTGATGGTTTTCCCTCAGGGACTCCTGCATTTTCAGGTGAACACGGGGAAAGGTAGCGCCCTGGCTTATGCGAGCTTCGGCAGCGCCAACCCGGGGCTGCAAATCCTTGATTTCGCACTGTTTGCCAACGATCTTTCCACCAAGACCATCGCCGGGACCACTTTCCTCGACGAAGCTACCATTAAAAAGCTTAAGTCTGTTCTTGGAGGCACCAATTAGACACTGATCAATCCTCCATTTTCTTTGTTTTTGTTTTGATTTTCTGTCAAGAATTAATATAATGCAGTAGTGTATTAATATGGAGTTTCAATTCTGGGCTGGTGTTATTCTTGCCCGCAGTTTTACATGTTAGTTCCATGCATTTCCATTTTGTTTGATCTACTGAGTGGAATTATTCAATTAATTAAAAATTCCATCAACTGTATTATTGTGCATGCATGGCCTATACTAGTAATAAATTTGTTTATTTATATATTTAATTTAGTTTCTTATGGAAAAGATCAGAGTATAGCTAAAGTCCAAGCTCCACATCAGTGAGTAGCCAATGATCTTTTGGAGTATAAATTGACTAGCTTTACCAACAATATAATTATCCAAAGAAAACGGAGCTTAGCTAGTTCTCTACCATTCAAATCTTATAAATTAAGTAATAGATGATTGGAAGAATTTTTCAAATATGGTCCTACAACAATGAGACTTTAATTTGGTTATGGATGAGATTTGTAAGTCTCTCATCTTTTAGTGTTTGATTCGACAAAATGTAATTACTCTAAGGATTTGTTTGGAAAGTAGGAAAATGACTTCTGGAAAAATTAATCATTTTCCTTTTCAATGTTTGGTTCATTCTGGAGCTGAAGCCCTAGACACACGCACGAAATCGTAGAGGCATCCGTATATAATTTATCAGTTCATTTTCTAAAAAATGAGCATAATTATTTTTAATTTTAAATATTTAAAATATACAATGATGGTGGTGGTGGTGGTGGTGGGGGGGGGGGGGGGATGTGGGGGTGGAGGCGGGAGTGATTTGCTGCTCCACTGTTGCAAACAGAAAATGACTTCCCAAACAAAAAGTCATTTTCTAGAAAATGCACTCTATTTTTCATTGACCAAACCCCTATTTTTCATTGACTTTTATTTTTTCCCCTGGACACTGAAAAAGTGATTTACAGAAATTATTTTATAGGTTCCAAACGCACCCTAAAATTCATGAAAGTGATTTATCATCTTTAAGGTCTTATATGACATAAACATGATTCCTCTTCTCCCAAAAGGTCTTACATGACATAAAAATGATTACTCTTCATAGTTATGGGTTAAAAGACTTATCAAACAAAATATATAAATTAAATAAATTTTATATATATGGGTACGTTCAAATGAAAATAACTTTCCTGTAAAAGATGAGATTTGAACCATCCATTATGACTCATCCATGATTGAAGATTTTAATTTTTTAAAAAAGGTCAATTTTATAATTATTTCAAATTTTTAAGTTTGCAATATTTTTAAATTAAAACTAACACCACCATTTTTCTCCATATTTTTCAATAATGCTCAATCGTTGATATACCAAAATATATAAATAGATATTTGATCAGTCATCACTTTTTACGTACCTAAGAACTTATTGTTCGTATCTAAACCATTAACCACCACACACACACATATATAAAAGGGTAGCATTCAACATATCCATTACTAAGGGTAGAACATCTCCCAACATATCCACACTCTCCATGAGAAATCAAAGCTAGGATTTTATCATTACTAAACTTTCAAGTTTGTAATAATTATAAAATGAACCATGCTTGTTAAAAGTTTTCTATAATAATAAAGTTGATCCCGTGTTTTTTTTTTTACTACAATCCTTACAATAATTTGCTACTATTAAGCTTTAATTTTTTTTAGTAATAAGGGTCAAATAGGTCATCGAACTACACACTAAAATGTAATTAGGTCATTGGACTAAAAAATATGTAATTGAGTCCCTGGACAACACAAAATGATGTAATTGAACCAAAAGTGACTTGTTTACCGGTTAGTTTGCTCACATGGAGGTTATAATATTAAAATAATAATATAATTTTTTATTTTATTTTTTTAAATAACAAAAAAAAAATAGGGCTTCGTCTCCAGCATGGAGATAAAGAACCTTCTTCGTTTCCGGGATGAAGAGTTCTTCGTTCCCGGCCAGAGACGAAGGGACCTCTTCGTCTCTAAGCTGCCGGAGACAAATACTGGTTCTTCGTCTCTTGCGGCCTAGAGATGAAGCCCTTCTTGTTTTGTTTGTTTGTTTTTTTTTTTTTTTAAATTAAATTGTTATTTAAAATTATTAAAAGAAAATAAAAAATTATTATTTTAATAAAATACCTCCATGTCAGCAAACTAACATGTAAACATGTCACTTTTGATTTAATTGTATCATTTTGTGTTGTTCAGAGACGCAATTGCATTTTTTTTTTTAGTTTAATGGCCTAATTGTATTTTGGTGTGTAGTTCGATTGCCTATTTGACCCTTATTCTTTTTTTTTTTTCTTTTTTTTTTTCATAACATTCGGGTTCGTTTGGAAACCTGAAAAATATTTTCTGAGAAATGGTTTCTAGAAAATTAACATGTTGAGAGAGAGAGAGAGAGAGAGAGATGGGAAAATAAAAAATCTTGATAATGACAACTAAAAAATTAGGAAGATGTTTTTCGTCAAATTGAGTCTTTTCTCTGTTTACTGGAATGAATATTTGTCTTTGACTTTATTTTCATTGAATACTCAAACATGGGAAAAAATCCATAAAATGGCTTCCTTTTTAGAGTTTTCAAACGGGTGCATTTATTAACTAGGAATTTTTTGTTAAGGTAATGAAAAATTGGAGAAAGTAAAATTTGAAAACATCACAAGAGTTCTACATTTTAGACATCTTTTTGAATATTAAACGGATTTTAAAGATAAAAACTAGATTTGTTAAAATAAAAAATAGAATATTATGTTTAGATCCAAACAAGTGAATATGAACAAGAAGTGAAATCCAATGTTTGGTCTATCATATGGTACAATGAAAACTCAATAAAAACTTGTGTCTGCATCAATGCCAAGGCACAATAAACTTATATAATTCCATTATTGATATGAGAACAGTGCTAGAAAAAGACCAATTAAGACCTTTTGTGATGGTGGTAAAGAACTTTTGTATGTATAAGTGTACCGAAAAATTTGAAATTATTAGAGAATTTGAGATTTATCCCCTTCAATTCATAGACCTCACTACAAAAAAAATGTACAAAAATAACAGTTTTTGACAAAAGTGTTGTATTTTGTGTAAAAAGCAACAATTTTGTAAAAAATCGTTGTCTTTGATGCAACACATTTGTCAAAAACAACGATTTTCACCGAACCGTTATCTTTAGTGTGTTGTCTTTGTGCATTTTGTCAAAAGACAACACCACAAATGCCTTGAGGTGGTTTATGTGACTCATAATATTGTTTGAAAAATTGAGAAATAATTTAGGAATATAAAAAATATTCCTTCAAAGTCAATTAGGGTTTTTATTTTATATAGGAAATGACAAAGCATCATCCAAGCAGTGACATAATGGACAACAAATCTCAACACCCAAAACCTTAATTTTATAAGCTTATAATGGTACGATAATGCAGTCTTATTTGCCGTCTTTCACTATACCTCATGTTTAATTTAGGTGGGTTTAATTGGCCCCTAAAACTCTAATTATGAATACTCTTACACCACTTATTTAGGTGGGTTTACATTTTTTGAAAGTTACTGGCTCTCATTGTAGTATCTGTTTATATACTTTCTCAACCTACTGAAACACAAAGAACCAATAACGCCTCCACTAAGGCTCGAACTTATAATCTTCCAAATGGAAGTCCAACCGGATACCATTAGACCACATAGTCCTGGTGGGTTTACATTATTTAGTGCTAAATAATTGAAATTTTAAAAATACAATTTTTTCATATATCACACCAACATTTGTGTTTATTCTCATATTTATGGGATAATTAGAATATTAGCATGACCTACAACGAGCTAGCTGCTAGCTAAGAGTGCTTGAGATAGTTTAGGGCACATAACGAAGGTCGTTGTATCTAGTGTGAGACTCTGTTGAGCATATAATCATTAATATGCAATCCAACTATAAGCTTTGAGATAGAGCACATGCTTCAATTGACTCAAGGGCTAATTGCCCAAACGACACATGTGTAAGACATTTGTGCCCGTTAAATAGCTTGTATAAATAACTATTCGCATATATACTAAATGGACATCTGATCTCAATCCATGTACTTGTACTTTACTATTCAATACATATTTTGCTCTACACACTTTTATTCTTGTCTCTATTCACTAAATTATTTTTGGTGTAAACCAAATTAATATCGTCACACATGTATTAATTCTTCATGAATTGGTTCATGAGTACAGTTGAGTGATTAAATTGAAATATAAATTAATGTTTATTTTTATATATTTATCGATTACTCATAAATTGATTAGAAATTCAATAATTTAATAATCGATTTGAAAATAAATTAATTGTTCATTAAATAATTAGAGAGATATTGGATTATATGGTTGGGTAATATCAATAGAGTAATACATGCAGAATGATGACATTAAATATTTAAATCTCATATATATCTAATTCATTTTCAAACAATTATGCCATATTAACTTGGCCTGGCCCCTGAGTTATATAACTGGAAAATATGATAGGAGTGATTTTTTTTATTTCAAAAAAGGGATACTTATCAAGCAACTTATTATATACTCCGTAGACAAGACATTTATCTTCTTTAAAAAAAAAAAAAAATCACCGAAAAGTTAGTCGCCGCTATTGAAAGGTGCAACCAAACTAATTATCCGTCTAACTTTGTTATGTTACATGTCAACTTTAAATGCACACCATAAACGTTTATCACTACCAAAAGTTATAGCTAGTAACAAATGCGTAATTTTATTTTCTTAATTAAGTTTACATAGCAGTCAATGCCATATTTCAACAACAGGATAATGGAATCGGCTTTCCAAGTCACTACCAAACAATTAACTTGTTAATGTTTTTATTATTTTATTTAACTAAATATTTTAAAATAAAATTAATTGTGAGTTCTAAAAATTACTGAAAAAATAATCTAATTTTTTTCTAAACTCCTAGGGTAGGAAAAGAAAAGTAAATAATAATAATAATAATAATAATAATGTAGAAATATATTTTGAAAAAGAATAATTAAGGAAAAAACCTTTCATTTTGAGTTTAAGGAAGTTGAAAATTGTTCTAAAGGCATACTAACAAATTTCCTAGCTAATTCATGAGAAAGTACAAATAATTTTGTATATATATGTGTTTCTCTGCGAGAGCATTCTTAATTCACTCTAATCATTTTAATTTTTATTGAACTCTTTAATATGACACATTTTTATAAGTTTTATAAAAGCTAAAATTTGCACCACTAAAACAATTAAAAAAAAAATCACTCTTAAATAAGGGGTTGTGGATTGGTTCAATTCAATGAATATTTTTAAGTAATATATATTTATACAAATGAGTCTCAAATAAGTTAAGAAATTGGATGATGGAATGATAGAGCTGGATTCAATTCCCATGAACTAAAAATCAAAGTTGAGAATCTTACATTTCTTAAAATAGATCAATCCAACTAATGACTTGTTTAAAACTTTAGAGGGAAAGAAGTATACCTCAACTAATGACTAACCAATCCAAAATAAATTTATAAACTTTACTTGGTAGCAAACATACAAATTAAGATTCCAAACCTTAATTATTCTAAGAAAAGTTGTTATTTGCCGTTAAAAGAGGGAATCGACAGCTTAACAAAACACATATTTACAACGTTAATTTCTTGATGATATTCTTCTTGTTTTTTTAATTAATCTTAATACAAACATCAAAACCTCCAAAATAGGTGCATTAAAATATGTCCTCCTACGTCTCTTCTGAAAAAGACCAAATTTTGATAATTTTATAACTTAATCACCTAAGCACACACCAATTAATAATATTACCTGGCCTGACATTGTACTTTGAATGATCAAGCACCATTATTCTCTGATCTTCTCCCTAGCTTTCCCGGCCGGCCTACAATGACCATTGATGAACCTGCAGAGCCCAGTCCTTTCCCAGACCAAATCTTGGAATGGTTCGGAGGTTCTAATTTCTCCTACGATTCATCGTTTCTTGATTGCCCTTACGATTCCAACGACCATTTCTTTGGAGATTCCGATTCCTGGTGGGATCAAGGTCAAAGTCTAGAGATTCTGCACAAGAGTGATGATAATAATAATAATGGTGGCGTTTCTACTTCTTTGAACAGCTTCTCTAGTGTTGTCACGACCGCTGCTGCCGAGGTGCCTGTTGTGTTGGATCATCCTGCCGCCCAGCCGCCGGTGGATAGGAAGCGGAAAGCTCGTGATGATGGGGAGGCAGAGGTGGAGGTGGAGCAGGCGGCGGCTCCGGGGAGAAAAGGCGGTGGGAACAGGAAAGGGACGAATAAGGCAGGAGGGAATGGTAATAGTAACAATGGTGGGAACAAGGATGGGAGGTGGGCTGAGCAGCTGCTCAACCCTTGCGCCGCCGCGATAACGGCCGGGAATATGAACCGGGTTCAGCATCTCTTGTACGTTCTCAGTGAGCTGGCCTCCCTGACGGGCGACGCCAACCACCGGTTGGCCGCCCACGGCCTGCAAGCGCTGACGCACCACCTCGGCTCCGGTTCCTCGTTCGCCGGAGTAACTACTTTCGCGTCAACCACTACAAAATTCTTCAGGGAGTCGCTGATGATTTTCAACGACATAAATCCGTGGTTTCGCATCCCGAACAGCTTTGCTAACTCGTCGATCCTCGAAGCTCTGGCGGAGGAGCAACAGGATCGGCCCAGATGTCTTCACATCCTGGATATCGGAGTTTCCCATGGAATCCAATGGCCGACGCTTCTAGAAGAGCTTACTCACCGCCCGGGAGGGCCGCCGCCGCTGGTTCGTCTCACGGTCATCACCCCCACCGTCGACAACCACCTGAGCAACACTACTCCATTTCTGATTCCTCCATCAGGTTACGATTTCTCCCCCAATCTTCTAGGGTTTGCCAAGGCTATTAACATCAATCTACAGATCAATATCCTAGACAATCTGCCGCTTCAAAACCTAGGCGCCCACGTACACACCATCAAATCCTCACAGGATGAGATTCTGATCGTGTGTGCACAGTTCAGACTCCACAATCTGAACCACCACGCCCCGGACGAGAGAACGGAGTTGTTGAAAGCCCTAAGGAGTCTGGGGCCGAAAAGAGTTGTTCTGAGCGAGAACAATGCGGAGTGCAGCTGCAGCAACTGCGGGGACTTCGCCGCTGGATTCTCCCGGAAAGTTGAGTACCTGTGGAGGTTTTTGGAGTCGACTAGCATGGCGTTCAAGGGGCGGTGGAATGAGGAAAGGAGGATGATGGAAGGAGAAGCGGCAAAGGCGTTGATAAATACGGGAGAAATGAACGAGAGAAAAGAGAAATGGTGCGAGAGAATGAGAGGTGTTGGGTTCGCGAGGGAGGAGTTCGGAGAGGACGCCATTGATGGAGCTCGAATGCTGCTCAGAAAGTATGATAACAACTGGGAGATGAAAGTGGAAGAGAAAGATGGGTGCGTGGATTTATGGTGGAAAGGCCAACCACTTTCCTTTACCTCACTCTGGAAGATGGACCCTAATCATGCTTTTCAGTAGTAGCTAGCTAGCTCTATACTTCTATTTCTCATTGTACTCTGCATTTTAACAAATACTTGCCTATGCCTATTGAGTTTTCAATCCAAAACCATGCTAATCTATGTGTACAAAAGCAATTTGTATTAGCTTCAAATTAGTAATCCCTGGTGACAAGACTCAGAGGCTCAATCTATCCTCTATCCTGAATCCTGATGCTAATTTTCAGAACCAATTGGGCAACAAACCAGCTATACAGTTTATCATGAATTCTTTACTTATGAAAAGCATTCATAACAGTCAAGAGTCGTATATCCTTACTGCACTATGGATGGTCTGCCTACATAAAGGACACGGGGGTGATAATTCGCGTACAACTGACAAGGCACAGCGTGGGCAACACACTAGATGTCCACATGGTACGAATGCAGAACGCCGTCTTCTTGTTAGGCAAATGACGCACAACTGACCATCAGGAATGTTCGCGATGTCCTCATCTGAACCATCCTGAGCAGCAGCTTCATCACTAGCAGCAGCAGCATTTTGTCGTTGAGTCTGCCTCTGATGCCTCCATTCTTTCCATCTGTTCCAGTTCCTGAAATATCTCCGAAATATGCAAATCAGATGACTATGAATCATGCACTTGAAAAATCAATACATCTGCTTTCCTTGATAACAATATTCTAAAACTCAAAACAATAACAAGAAAAGTGGGGAGGAGGCAACAGTGCATTCATACCTTACAGCAGCATAGCTAAGGATACCAACTGCAAGTGAACCAAATACTACCCCACTCCATAGCAAAACTTTTGTCTTAAATGCAAGATCTACAATCATTTGATCCTTGGTCATCTCCGATCTATAAAAAGTAAAAAAATAAAAACAATTTACTTAACAAACAGCAGAGATATTGTTCCATAGTCTTGAGAGGAGAAAATGGTGCAGCACTTGTAGTAGTTCATAAAACTACAAACTCCAAGGAGCGAGTTTGTGTTTTCGAGAGTAGTAACAATGTAGCATGCGGGTATGTAATGTATGGACTTTGCAGAGCGATAGTGGTTCTCACACAAATGTCAGCACTAAACAAACATGTAACTATTATATGAAAATGGCAAAAGGAACTTACAGGAAATAAGGAAGAAAATTGCACGACTTTATCTCTGGAGTCCCTCTAATTGAGCTGCAAATCCCAACTGCAGTGATATCCTTCCCTAGTGGCAGGATTTTTTCTTCGTGTAGCAGCCCAACCTTTGCACCCAAAATTGCATGAATGATAAGAACTAAGAAAATAGAATTATAATTGAAAAATCAAACTAACAAACCATAAACCCATTAATACTTACAGGGTACTGATGACCAAAAATTGCCTGGAGGAAAGTTATTGAAGTAGCGTTAACTGGCTGCAGGTGATGGTAGACTGTTTCAAGTGGTAGGGGGTGACTTGATCCATCCATGTTCACATTAACATATTCAGATCGTGGCCACCTTCCAGCTTCAACAATAACAAATGGGACCTATTCCAGAATTCATTCAGGCACAAGTGTCTAATACTCTAATTACCAAGTAAGAAGTAAAAATAAAGCCCCTCCTTACCAAATCGAATAAATAACAATAAACTCCCTAGTCCCTCCATCACAAATTGTTTGTCATATTTACTAATTATCAACTTGACTAAACTTTGGTTTAAGTTTTAATTATTTTAAATGTAAGTTTTGAACATTTAAACTATATATTAAGAAACTACATAGTAAGTATTACTTATTAAAAACATTGCAACTCAAAATTTTAAAGAAATATGTCCTAGAATATTGGTCAAAGTAAGATTGCATCGACTCCGGGAAGGCATTGTAAAGATTAACTATCAATGTTTCCAGTCAATAGAATAACTACACACTTGTGGCATAATAGCAGAAACACCCATGCTATGATGTGAAAGATAAATTTAGGAATCAAATTAGACAATTGGTCCACTGAACTACTGAAGTCTATCAACAATGTAAGATCATATCTAAATGATGGCAAGTCATGAATGAAAGAAAAATTTTGAAGATGATATATCAATATAAATTTCTATATAAAATGGAGGCATCTAGCTTTTAGAATATCCTAACAATAAGGAGTATGCCTATGCTTTATTCTTCAGAAAGACAGAAAAAGAATAAACAAAATTAAATGGATCATTAATCTAAATTTGCATTTGAAACCCACGTAGCATAATGGCACAAGGATCCATATGAAACATAGTATCTATGGAGATATGCACAAATGGCCCCTTCACATATTGAGAATGTATATAACCCTACCCCAACCTGGTCTGGTATGGAATGAACTTAAAATCACGAAACTAACTTGACCATCATATTGGAACCAATTTACTAATTTTTTCCAGTTAGTAGGAGGAATTCTGAACTAAGAAATAAACACCAGACACTGCAAAAGGGCATTCTAAGTTTCTAAGCAATTGCAACAAACTGGGTTCATTAATATGCATGGTATAGCAGCCTAGCAGGATATACAACTATATGCAATTTGGTTATATTGTTTTGATCTTTGAAGCAATCTTCTATAATTTTGCATAAGAGGGATAGTTGCATTCAGTTACTGATCACTTGAATATTTTTAATAATAGTACATAGGAACAATGCTTGTAGGATTTCTATTAAAAACCAAGAACCATAGCCCTGCCCGTCATCCACAAAAAAAAAAAAAGTGCAACATTAACAAATTCCAGGGTTCCTGTACACTACCATTCTTTTGGAGGATGACTCTTGCTCTCTCCATGATCTTGGAAATAGAGAACGTAGATCACTGGTCCATCCCATGAAACCTTTCCACTCATTATATATACACTACATAAGATAAAAATTTAAGTTGTAAACATCTCACCATAATCCATTGATAACATAAGCAATAATATATAATAATAGACTACAGTACCATTATTCAACAACAAATAGAGATCCAACCACAAGTATTACAAAGAACTTATGCATCGCTAAATTGATAAGAAGTTCAAAGTAGAAATTTAATAAACATCAATTGAGCTTTAGATTGACAGAAAGGCTACCAACATAGGATAGAGACAAATGTGGAATGAATAAACTATAGTGACATTTCTTCAAATTCCAATGAATAATGACATCCAATTGGAACTTCTGAATCAATTTATCTTAATATCATCCTTAGTTTCTTTTCTCAAATTAAACTCTAAAATACATATAATTATGAAACTATTGGAAAGAACGAGGTAATCTATAATAATAATAATTACACTAGGAAATAAATAGTTTGAGAATAACAGTTAGCAGTAGGTCATTCAAGATAAAGGAAACAAGGCGTAGGAGTAACCAATAAATATAAGTCCTCTATGAGACTTGAAAGTAAGACTAGAAATTGGCATGAATCGAGCTATAATTCAGGTATCAATCATCAAGAAAATCGTCCAAGAATTGAAGTAAAGGCGAAAATTAAAGACAAGAATAAGTGAAGCACCGTTTGAGTTCGCTGCACAATGACAGCTTTCTCGCCGGAGTCGTGAGCAACGAGGACGTCATTCCGTAGGCTCTTCCAATCGCCTTCTACGGCGGACTTCGCTTCGACGGTGCCGCGGACGATCACGAGCTTGCCTTCGTCGGATTGGTTGGAGTCGCCGTGTTCAGAGACGACGGAACGGAGATCGGAAACGCGGACGGAAGGAGCTTCTTTGATTTTGTGTAGAGCGGAGTTTGTAGCCTTGAACTTGAGTACGCTCCGCACGGCAATGAAGGCTAGGGCTAGGCCGAGAACGGTGCCGTCCGCCGCCAGTGCTACCTGAGAAAGCACCGCCGCCGCGGCTTGGTCGGGAGCGGACATCGTTTGCCTTCAATTAGCGTGATTCCAACTCTCTTCACTGGACTCGTAGGCTTTTACCGTCTCAGACTCTGATGAATTACACACTACTCCTTTCTATGGGATTCCGGGAATTTTTAAGATTTAAGATGTGGGTTAATATTTGGGTTGTCAATTTTTTTTTTTTCTTTTAAGGAAAAATGATAAATGTACTTTTGAATTTTACACAAAAGTGTAATTAGATTCTTAAATTTTTTAAAAGTACAATTAAGTACATTAACGTATCATTTGGAGCTGGGGGTGACGTCCAACAGGCCTTGATTTATGCTAGAAATTGGAAGCAGTGCCGTGATGAGGAGGCTCCAGTTTTTTATCACCAACCAGTCCAATATGCAGTTTTGACTCATGGGGAGATAAAAGTGAATATCGACATAGCAATGGACCATGGAGGAAGCCGGATGGGTTTTGGATGGAGTGTGTTTGATTGGGATGGCTCGGTGCTGGGGGTTGTCATGTTTGTCAAGAATGGTCTGTTTCGGGTTCAAGAAGCGGAGGCCATGGGAGCAAGAGAGACGCTAAGCTGGATAAAGGAGAAAGGATGGCCGAGGGTCATTGTAGAGACGGACGCCCAGGTAGTTACACGAGCAGTCACGGGAGGTGCTGATTTATCGCCTTTTGGGGCTATTATTGAAGAAATCCGTGACTTGCTGGATCAAATGCCTATGGTAAATCTCCGATTTGTGAGTAGAAAGGCAAACACAGTAGCAGATTTTTTAGCTAAAAAAGCTCTTGGCCAGGTGGGGGAGAACAGAGTTGAATATTTTGATTATATCCCACGTTTTCTGGCTGCTCCTTTATGTAAAAGCAATACTATTTAATGAAAAGTTTGGTTATCTTCAAAAAAAAAAAAAAAAACGTATCATTTGTTAGGGTTGTGGGCAGATGAACATGCTTAGTGTGCTTATAGGTAAATTGTTGGCCTATTGGTTACATTGGACTTAAAAAAAAAATAATAAAGAAGCTAATTCATTTAACCATAAGTTGAAGTGATTATAAATATGATTGATGAAACGGTATTACCATTCTTTACTGTCAGACATAGAAACAACAACTTGAATCGCAAAATGTTTCACAAATTTGAAGCTGAATTCGTTAGATGAATTTAACACTTCTTTAATATCATTGAAAAATTGATCAAACGTAGTTAATATTAACTTTGGTTGAAAAGTCTTTCACACCACCCACCTGAGTATATATTTTCCATATATCGTTCATTGACAATATATCTATCGAGTTGAGATGGAGATGCTCTTTAACATTGTCATCTTTGTCACCCAGGATGAAGTTCACATACGTCATGACCAACTTATATGTTTCACACGAATGAAGAAAAGAATTCGCCAAAAGAAACAAGAGGAAAACAAACTCGTCACACAAACGAGAGAAAAACACAGAAAAAAGCATAACAAAAAAGAAGAGAGAAGCAGCAGTACACTTCTTGAACTTTATTTTACGGATCCACGGGAATCATACACTTCTTTATCCAGATCTGGCGGAATCATTAAACTTTAAATCTTTGAAACTACCGCAACTTCCTTGAAAGGAATGAAGGGTTGGTGGTTGAATCGGCACTAAACTTTATTATGAAACTAAAAAAATAAGAAACAAAAGAAAATAGGAGACCGCCGGCCAAGAAATGAAATTCCGTCAAAGGCTCAAAGCTTTGGCCAGAGGCCGGCGACCACCAGATGAAGAAACGCCCAAAAAAGAAGCAAGATTTTGTCAAACAAAAATAGAGGTTTCGAGAGAATTAGGGTTTCAGAGAATGGTTACATTGGACTTATTTGACTGATTTTAATAAATTGAAATGTTTAGTTGCACATTTTAAAACTTACAACTCGTCCGTGACATCATTCATGTTTCCAGTGGCATTCAAATTTTGGACTCCTACATTAGTGCCCCTTCAATCGTGACACAATTCATGTTTCTAGTGGCATTCAGAGCCCCTTCAATCGTGACATCAAGTTAGGTGACGAACCACGCGTATCTTTGAGTCCACTTTATGTTAACAATAAGAATATCACATTGTTAAGTATTTGTCTTCTAATAAGTTATTAAATAATTAAAAATGGGGGGAGAAAGAATTAAACAAACAAAGAACCACAAAAATATATAAGAATACCAATTGATATGATAGAAAAATATTACATGTACTCCCAACGTTTACTCCCCACTTCCAAATATATTCTATTGAGAATCCCATCAACCCTAACTTGAATAACTTCTTGATAAATTCCTAATTGACCCAAACTTTTCATAGAATATCCTTCCATAGAATGTGTGTATATATATATATATATATACACACACGCCTGCCCCCATTAGGAAGCAGAGAGTAAAATGAAACAATTAATGTGTGTTGATTAAGCCCTTACAAGTTAAGCAATACATTGATTCTAAGCCCATATTTGGTGGAGTCTGAGTTAATACATCCAAATTAAAAGCTCAAAAAACATATATCTTCTTAGGCGGGTATATATAAACATGGCAGTAGTTGATTACACTACACTCTGTCATGCATATACCACAGGCCACAGCTTCAATTCCCGTGGAAACAGATCAGACTTGTTTATTCTGATCCTTGAGAATGCAGAACAAATGCCTTAATGAATGAGTTGAGGGATTCGGGGCAGTCAATGTTTGCCGCATGCCCTGCATCCTTTAATACTTCCAATCTAGCTTTGGTGCCCAAATATCTGCAAAACAATGTCGATCATTCTGGAGAAATGAAAAACCAGAGAAAGAAAGAAATGAAAATATAAGTACCATACCGCTGCAATTGCTGTCCAAATGTGAGAGGGAAAACTCTGTCATTGTCGCCCCAAAGAAGCAGTGCTTCCTATTGCCAAAAGATCAAAACATGATAAGGGAAAGCCGAGTTTTTGCAATGGAAGTTTTGCGTGTTATACAGATGAGTGGGGGGTTTCACCTGAGTCAAACCGGAACCAATGGCATGTTCTTTATTGCCCATCAAGTACTCCAGTAGCTCTTGCTTCTCTTTCCTGTTATGGCTATACATCACCTTATAGAGCAAGTCAATCATTCATGTTAGCTTTCTCCCCATTGCCACAAATTCAATTCTATTTAAACCAACAAAACTAAAGCCTGCAATCAACACAATCTTAGCTCGAAAGTCGCCCTACCAGGTTATACTGCCACAGAGTACACACAACAAAAACATGATTGAGACTGGCTTCTTTTTTTCTAACATTTGGTGATTACAAATTTCTCAACCAAAGTGAGGCCAATTCCATACCTTCTCGATAAGAATCGAACTCTTTGTAGCTATAAAATGAGCTATTAACAGATTATATTCAACATATAATACATAAATATTTGTTATATAAGCATATAAATGTGTACTTTTATCTATCAACTTACATATCCTTCCACTATCAGAGACAAGTTTGGATTTTTAGAGACTTTTATAAACTTTTAAGTTTGGGATATTAATGGTATTTTATTTGATTATCTGTAAAGACATTTGTCACATGCAATAGCAATGATTAGAGAGAGAGATTAATGGGCAATGGGAGAATTGAATTGAATTGAAGCAAAGAAGAGAGAGGACTGACAGTGATGAATTCTTGGAGGAAAGCGTCTGGGACCCACTTGAAAGGGTCGTGTTTGTGGGAAGACAGATTGACCAACCGCCTGAGATCCTCCGGCTTCGCCGGCAACAGCAAGTCGACGGCGTTGCATCCAATCTTCTTCAGGCGCTCCATGTGTTCGAGCCTTTGATCGGCGGTGGACGCAATTCCGCTACTGACGATCACCACTCTGTCCACCACATCGGGATACATCTCGGCCATCCGGTACCCCACGAAGCCACCGTAACTGATCCCGTAAACCGCGGTCCTCTTCACACCCAGCCCCATCAAACCCTCGATCACGCATTTGGCCTGGAACGCGTCCGTGCGATCGGGGCGGCGGGTGCGGGAATCGCCGAAGAAGAGGAGGTCAGGGACGTAGAGGTTGAAGGATTGGGCCAGGGAGGCGAGCTGGAGCGCGAATTGCCACTTGGCATTGCCGCCGTAGCCGTGGATGATGACGAGATTGGGCTTGTGGAAATGGCGGTGGGCGGGGGCCCAGATGTGCATGGTGGTCTGGTCGTCCAAATCGACGGTGCAGGGGGAGAGATTGCAGAAGCGGAAATAGTGGGACAGGATGGAGTCGACGGCAGGGACGAAAATGGGGAAGCGGTGGAGTGTGGGTAGAAGACGGCGGAGGACGAAAGCCGCGACGGAGATATAGAAGGAGAGAAGGTGGCGAAACCATAGCCGTATTGTCTCCATACCCGCCTGAGACAAAGGACCAACCGGAGGTGCTGATGGAACTAGAACAATGCTGACCTAGGCCTTGCTTTTTTAACTTTAAACAAAAATTTTAATTTTTTTTTCTCCTTGTGTAGCTTGACTTTCGAAAGAGTTCTATTATTGTAACACCATCTTCATAAAGTCCGAGGTCATCTTATTATAGTTTTCATGTGTAGTTTGTAAGTTATTATATAAATAAAATTTAACTGAAGAATTTTTACGTATAAACAAACAGCTAGGTGTCAAGCAAAATCTAACGCGAACTATAAGCACTCAACTAGTCATTACAGATTTGATTTCTACATAACGATTAAGGTCTATCGAATTCTATCTATTCCGTGTCACCCGAAAGCACAAGTTTGGTCACCTCATCCGCTACAAAATTCTGCTCATGGAAAACATTTAAACATGAAGAATGCAGCCACCTCCTTCAAAGAATGAACTTTGAACCTTGCATTTTAATTTTAAATCTTTTCAAGGAATGAAGGCTGGTAAGCTATGGAAGAATTCCCCTACATGCCTCTTTGCCTCATGTAGTGTTTTCTCCACTTTTCAATTCCTTCTTTGGATGTGTCTCTTTGCCTTAATGACTAACAAGTTAATAGTTTAAGTTGGGCCAACCCCAAATCCTAATACACATTATGCAATACTCAACATATCTTACTTTTTAGGGGCCCTGTGCAATTGTCCTGGTCAAGACCGACATTAATTAAATGTAACTATGTGCAATATATCTGATGTCTCTTCTTTTTCGACAGTATAATTACAATTGTTGTCATTATCTATTTTTAAATGAAGTTGAGTGATTATTTTTAATTTTTAATAAATAATGACTTAATACTATATCTTAATTTCATATTAGTATTAGAGATATGGCATTACAAATATTCACAATGAATGTGAGAATCATCTCACCAAGGATTACCAATATTTTGTAGCTAACAAGTGCAATTATTGATGGCTCAAAGAATATGAAGTGATACAAATAGATTGTATATAGTTATTATAAAAATTTCTCATTTTGTTGGAGTAGAAAATGTGCAATAAATTAGCACAAATGTGTTAGGATTTATGACAATGTATCTCCTAAAATCATGTCATGTCCTTCATGTCTTCCAATTTTTAAGGTAATGGGTAATGATATATATTTGATAACTCATATCTTGCGACTTTACTAGATTATATTTAATATTTAATTCTTTCAAGACTAGATTATATTTAATTTCTTGTCAAAAAAATTATATTTAATTTAATATACAACTTGTATACGGAGTCAAATTTAAAATATTGATGTTACCAAGTCAATTGTACAACCAACTCAATTAAGTTACGAATTGTCTTATATAGATATTTCTTCTCATTGATATTTTGACCATTCTTCTAGCACTAGATTAGAGTAATATAACAATTCTTTACAAAAAATCTCACTCTAATACTTCAACAACGGAGTAATTATGTTGTATAGTTCTGTATTGTTAACGGACAACATGTAAAAATAACTTTTAAATTATATAGATGTAAATATATTTGTTGAATTCTTTTTAGTTTTAAATATAAAATTTAAAATAAATATATTTTAAAAATCTTCAACATCCATATTTATTATTATTATTATTATTATTAGTATTATTGTTATTATTATTATTATTATCCTTTTAACTATTATTTTTTAATATTTATAATGTCATAATTATAAATAAGTAATTAATAATACGGTTTTTGTGCTGCTATTTAGTCACTAACTATTAAGTACATATAAATACACCACAAAAATGTAAAAATGCATCCTTAGATGTGGTACAGTGTTGCATTTTTTGAACAAGTTCTACTACATAAATTCTTAAATTTTACTCCCTTATTTCTACTCCTTGAAATGGCAAATCAAGATTGATTATTTTCATCATGTGGTATCACAAAAAAATGTTTACATCAAAACATGTGAGATGAAGTATAAATCGAGAGTATAAAATGAAAATCTACCAAATATTTTTATTTTTGAACACTATATAATGTATTTTTCATACCTAATAATGAATTTGTACTGACGGTCTGAAAAACATTATTTAACCAGTAATAATTCAGCAATAAAAATAGTCCATATTTGGTCCGACGAAAACTTCCCCGTTACGAAACAAGAGCACAATGTATGAACTATGACGAAGACTTGGAGTTGACAGTTTCCCAAATTTACATTCAAGGTTTTTGGCATTTTGGGAGTGGTATATAAGATTAGATTAGCTATCGAAAATGGAAAGCCTTTGTTCAGGTCTCTTCAGTCTTCTCCCTCGTTTTCAGCCCTCTGTTTCCACCAATTTCACTCTCGGGTCTGCTTCATTTCTCAACCCTAGCTAGTCATTTTGTGTTTTTGGTTCCCTTATTTTAATCTATTCACTCACAAGTCACAAGCACGTTCAGGCATTCGCTGAATTTTTGATTCCCTTTGTTAATTTTAGATAATAATTAATAAATATTTTGGGTCAGTGATGGATGATCTTGAAAAGGCAATACTGATAAGTTTTGATGAATCTGGAAGCGTTGATTCAGCGTTGAAATCACAAGCAGTTGCTTTTTGTCAGCAAATCAAAGCTTCTCCATCAATTTGTAGCTTGTGTATAGAGCGTTTGTGTATAGAGCGTTTGTGCATATCGAATCTTGTTCAAGTCCAGTTTTGGTTCTTGCAATGCCTGCATGAGGCTCTTCGTGTTAGGTACTCGGCCATGAGTCCGGAGGAGAAGTCGTTTGTTAGGAAATCAGTGTTCTTGATGGCTTGTTACGAGAGCATTGATGGGAAGAGCTCAGTGAGGGTTCTGGATGCTCCGGCATTTGTAAAGAATAAACTTGCTCAAGTCGTGGTTACTTTAATTTATTTTGAGTATCCAGAAACTTGGCCATCTGTGTTTCTCGAGTTTTTACCGAATTTAAGTAAAGGGGCTTTGGTTATTGATATGTTCTGTAGAGTTTTAAATGTGCTGGATGATGAATTAATTAGTTTGGACTACCCAAGGAGCCAAGAGGAGCTGGCTGTTGCAGGGAGAGTTAAGGATGCAATGAGGCAGCAATGCATTGGTCAGATTGTTGGGGCGTGGTATGAAATTGTGTCAATCTATAAGAACTCTGATTTTGATTTGTGCACTACTGTTTTAGATTCCACGAGGCGGTATGTCTCTTGGATTGACATTGGGTTGATTGCAAATGATGCATTTATTGGGCTGTTATTTGAGTTGATATTGGCCAATGGCCTGCCTGATCAGCTCAGAGCTGGTGCAGCTGATTGTGTCCATGCAGTGGTTTCAAAACGCATGGATCCAAATGCCAAGCTCATGCTCTTGCAAAATCTTCAAATAAGAAGGGTTTTTGGTTTAGTAGCTGTTGATAATGACTCTGAACTGGTATCAAGCATAGCTTCTTTGCTTACTGGGTGTGCCATTGAGGTCTTGGAATGTTTCAAGCAATTGAACTTGGAGGACAGCCGGGCTGTCTCTATGGAGGTGCTGAATGAGATTTTGCCCTCAGTGTTTTATGTAATGCAAAATTCTGTTATTGATGAAACATCAAGCATTTTGCAGTTCCTTTCAGGTTATGTTGGCACAATGAAGAGTCTTTCTTCATTGACAGAAAATCAGCTATATCATGTAGGTCAGATGTTGGAAGTCATCCGTTCCCAGATTCGGTTTGATCCCAGTTACCGTAGTAACCTGGATGTATTAGATAGAATTGGAAAGGAAGAAGAAGATCGGATGCTTGAGTTTCGGAAGGATTTATTTGTTCTACTCCGCAGTATAGGACGTGTTGCTCCCCATGTTACTCAAACTTTTATCAGGAACTCCTTAGCTAGTGCTATTGCACCTACTGCAGAGAAAAATGCCGAGGAGATAGAGGCTGCACTTTCCCTATTTTATGCACTTGGGGAATCAGTAAACAATGATATGATGAGTACAGGAAGTGCTTTTCTGGATGAACTAGTGGCAATGCTTTTATCAACAAAGTTTCCTTGCCACTCTAATAGACTTGTTGCACTGGTATATTTGGAGACAATCACAAGGTATATGAAGTTTGTGCAGGAGAATACACAATATATTCCCCTAATTCTGGGTGTTTTTCTTGATGAAAGAGGCATACACCATCCAAATATCCACGTGAAACAAAGGGCAAGTTATCTTTTCATGAAGGTTGTGAAATTACTTAAAGCAAAATTTGTCCCATACATAGAGACCATTTTGCAGGTATTACATTGCCATTTTTATTCTCCTCATTTCATTCTTGTCTATATCATATTTTCATTAACCAGTAAGACAGGTTTGATTTTCCTTGTGCATACTCATTTTTTAAATGGCATTTTAGAGGCTGCAAGATACGGTTGCTCAATTTACAACTACGTATTGTACTTCTGAGGAACATTCATGTTCTGAAGATGGTAGTCACATTTTTGAGGTAAATGCTAATGGTTTTTCATATTACCAGATTGTATTTGGATAATGGAATTGACCTTTTGTGTCTGATGCCTTTATTACTCTGACTTTGTTTGACACTTTACAGGCAATAGGCTTATTGATAGGAGTGGAAGATGTGCCACTTGAAAGGCAATCTGAGTATCTTTCTGCATTGCTTACTCCTCTTTGCCAGCAGGTCAAGTTTGATTACCTATTGAACTTATGATCAACTTGAACAGTAGTATGAGGTCTCATTTTCATTATCTGTTTATATTTTATATTTGTCAGTATTGTGGTGGAAGAAAACACCTGGGGTGGGTTCGGTGTGTTGATTTCCTTCCTCATTCTGCAGTTCTGCACATTCATATTTGATATTTATAATCTTACTGGAAGAAGTTGGGAAGAGTTTCTTATTGTTTATATTAGGTGCTTGGATACACGGCATGCAATTATAACATTGCACTTTCACATTGCTTTGTTTTTATTTAGTGACAATGGACATTTTAAGCAGGTGGAAACATTGCTCTTGAATGCCAATTGGGAAGAATCTCCTTTAAAGATCACTAATATACAGCAGATAGTAATGGCCATTAATG